GTGTCTCTAGGGTCTATATTAGGGTCTGTATTAATCTCTGTGTGAGGTGTGTCTCTAGGGTCTATATTAGGGTCTGTATTAATCTCTGTATGTGAGGAGTGTCTCTAGGGTCTATATTAGGATTTCTCTGACCTCTTCTACTTGCGCTTGTGTCTGCTGCATTCTGCGATTGCTAGAGAGGTTGGGAGGGGCAGGGGGAGAGCCAGACCCAGGGGCCCCTCCTTCTTCTCCTGGGGCTCCCGGGGCTCCTTGTGGCCCGGCACGGGGGGCAGCATCAGGGGCCGCAGCTGGGGCTGACCTGAGTCAGAGACAGAGCAATAGGAGGAGTAAACATATCCCTTACGTAAACATATCAGGTATATTTGCCACTAAACTAAGAAAGACAAAAAAAAATAATTAATAGCTAAAATATTTACAGTATTAGCTATATACTGTTTCTAATTTCTTGTTTTTGACAGTATTACACTGTTATTATTATATCATAACAAATATAATACAGTACTACAGTGTATTACAGTCTATTGTACTGTTATACTGCCCTGTGTTACAGAAAGGAACCCCATATGTTTTGGGGTGCATCAGATGCCCCACTACACAGCAGATCATGTGAAGGAGTGGAGAAACTGCTTCAACAGTCGAATTAAGAGAAACCTTACAGCAGGCCAGATTCTACAAGCGCCAACTGAAAAATATCAACTGGAATTTAGCCAGGACACTGGGCTTTTGTTCCTACACTTACAGCCTCTGCCATGAGATCCTGAATGACTCATCTTTGATGAGTCAGAACCTCAGTTTTACATCTCATCTAAAGGACAGCGCCTTCTTCAGCAGTGCCCCCGGTCACCATACAGGAGCATCGGATTAGAAAGTCTGAGTCCACTGATATAGAGCCACCTATTGGTCAACCATCACTTACAGCAGCAATCAGATTATAGCTGAATTTTTGGTTCTCAAAGAGCTTGACATTAGCATATGCATTCTGTGACTGGAGCCTAAAATATTCTATACCATGCTTGACCTGTTACATTTGGCTGTTGAATATGTTCTGTTTTAGCCCTGACGTCTGCAGAACCACACCTTGAAAACAGCTGCACTTAAACCAGAGCAGGAGAAGGTCACAATTTTCTCCCTGTTCTTTTCTGCTACTCTCAGGAGAGGCCTTCTGTATGATTAAACTTATTTCAAAACTTCACTCAGCAGCACAGTGATTTCATGCATCCTTTCCAATCAGACCATTGAAAGCACTGCTGCTGCTTCTTCTGCTATATCCTCTGCTGTCACGGCTATCCCTCATACTGGGATTATTAACAACATCTATAGGAAAACTGCTAACAGTGAGCACTGTAGTCACTTGTAGGGCAAATCTCAAATCTGTGTGCTTCCACACAAGAGAGTGCAGCATTCCCTGCTCTGTCCCACCTGTCCTTGAGGAGTAACCAGTTTACAAGTGGCAATTCTCCCACATCTTCCAGTAAGGCCTATCCACAGTTACAGTACTTCTGCAGAGGATGAGTCCAGTTCCTCTAAATCTCTCTGTTTTTGTAAACTCTAAAGCTGTATCTAGGTGTCACAAAGTAGCACGGTCAACAATATGAGCTGCTGTTCCTTTAATGGTGGATGTGTAAGACCTGAAGGTCCTGGTTTCCTTTAAATCGACCGCAGGGCTCCCACCCCCAACCCCCTTTGAAAGCAGAGACAGCCCAGAGTCCGTCTCAACTCAACTTTTGCACCAAAATGGCTGACTTTAATTTTTTTTTGAGGAAGGGGGTTAGACTTTCTGCTCTTCCACACACAAAACACAAGGTTCTCGGGGGAGAAATCGGACCGTGGAGTTGCCAATCTGTCCAGTGCGTGCTGACAGGACTCGCACAGCCCAGCCCCCCAACGAAAAGTGACCTCTCAATTGCTGTCCTGAAACAGTCTGGTCCAGAGAGCCTGGGTCACATGCTCCACCCCTACAGTACTCCAGCCCTGAAGGAATCTCTCCAAATCCCTATCATCTGTTTGCCACATACTGTTACAGACCTAATCATTTCAGGACGCAGAAATGTTGTACAAACACATACTGATGTCCGATGACAGACTCAGTAACATTTACATGCTGGACATAGACAGTTCACTGCAAGTATACAGTGTGTATTATCATTAACTGATTTCCATTAATCGATCCGTTCACCTCTCGGAGTTTGGAAAAGGGAAATATTCTAATTAAAACGTTTTATGTTTTTTAAATAAGCAAGACAGCAGTGTACTTACATCGCGTTTGAGATCCGTCTGTCGGATGGCTCAGTGCAAGCTCGAAGACACGAAGTTTAAGAGGCAGAGTGGGAGAAAGAAAACGTCCAGATTCTGGAGGGGATGAAGTGGTGGTGGTGGTGATGATGAGGAGGGGGTGTTGGTGGTTTGGGGGGCGGGGGGATAGGGGGGATTGAATGCTTGGCGAGGGAGAGGGATTGGGGGGCGCGGAATCTGCTGTGACTGCAGCTTTCGAAATGAG